AGAAGAAGAAGAAGAAGAAGAAGAAGAAGAAGAAGAAGAAGAAGAAGAAGAAGAAGAAGAAGAAGAAGAAGAAGAAGAAGACGAAATGAAGAAGAGAAGAAGAAGAAGACAGAGAAGAAAAAAAAAGAAGAAGAAGAAGAAGAAGAAGAAGAAGAAGAAGAAGAAGAAGAAGAAGAGAAGAAGAAGAAGAAGAAGAAGAAGAGAAGAAGAAGAAGAAAAGAAGAAGAAGAAGAAGAAAGAGAAGAAGAAGAAGAAGAAGAGAAGAAGAAGAAGAAGAAGAAGAAGAAGAAGAAGAAAGAAGAAGAAGAAGAAGAAGAAGAAGAAGAAGAAGAAGAAGAAGAAGAGAAGAAGAAGAAGAAGAAGAAGAAGAAGAAGAAGAAGAAGAAGAAGAAGAAGAAGAAGAAGAAGAAGAAGAAGAAGAAGAAGAAGAAGAAGAAGAAGAAGAAGAAGAAGAAGAAGAAGAAGAAATCAACTGATTATCCTCACTGCAATCCAATCCTTAAATCCATACGAATCCCTTTCTGAATACATACTATTACTTCTACGTTCTGAGCTTGATTTAATATGTTTCTTAGGCTTACTAAAATCCCACTCTTGTTACTGTTACAGAATAAATGTGAACTTCATTACTGCGGTTGTGAAATTGACTGTCTTTCTAAGAGACGCTGAGATACACATTGAAATGTGCACTTTAACCCTGAAATTTAATCGGATCATTCAGATTTAACTGTACGTAGAATGGCCAGGGTTAAACGCATCCATTCTGGTCCGAAACCTGTTTACGTTCCTATAGAAATGGGTGTATTTGTGCCTTTGTTGAAGCAGCCATACGGCCCTTACAAGGATAAAAATGGGATCTAGCCTTCTTTTGTGAGTGAGCGGTGATCGATGCTCGCGGGCGCATGTCATTGAATGGGCATTGAACCAAGGGTTAGATGCACGAGATGAACTGTTTCCGCTTCTCGAGGACAAGACACATTAATATTGCTGGGTACAGCTTGTCGCTTCTTCATCATTGATAACAGTCACGGCAAATGCACTTTTTCTTTGATTTTTCTATACCAAACAGTGTATGATATATCGTTCACTTACTTCTTCATTGACAAACCGACTTTCAATTTTCCTATCGACTAATGAATTTATTCGTCTTTTTCATCTTTCGTTCGCCTGAAATAAGTTATCGATAGCAGCAGTTTTGTCCCCTGTGTACATCTAACTGTTGTTTTTAATTCATTCAGGAGTCCGTGGAGTTTATGTTCTAGTGTTGTTCTTCCTGGCCACAAGTGTTGCCTTGATGTATTATAATCGGTGCAGTCCTGCAGTACGTGTTCTACTGTCTGGGGCAACTTTCTAGCTCAGCTTTTGTGTACACTTAGTTTCGTACTCAATTGTGCTGGGACGCAGAATATTGGATTTTTTTAACAGTTCATAACAGAGCAATCTTTTTATGTTTGAGGATGGTGGTCTTCTGATTGATTTAATCATCTTTTCCTTTATATGGTATATAACAATACATCCAGATGCTCTTTTGACGCACCTTCTCCTGCCAATTGATCAGCTCCCTCAGTTCCGGGCACTCCATAATAAAACAAGGGACAGTATCCCCTGCCTTGCCACTTCAAGTAGTCATCTAATAGTTTTCCAGCCTGCAGTGCTTCAAGTTATATTTTTGTATCTGTCAGTATAGCTACAGAATGTAAGCCAGGTTTGCTATTTAGTCATGTATACGTTCCTGTGTTAGTTTCAAAGATATGCCAGTAGTGACGTCGAAGATTAGACCCTAATGTCAGCGCATTACTGCTGTATGGAGCAGAACATAGACAACCGCACACATTTCCTTGACCAATGGCTTTCATTCTTCCTGACTGACTTTCTACCCCACCAGGACATCACACAAGCGATAAACACCCGATGACACAAAGTGCCACCATATGGATGAGGATCGCCGTGGAGAGGTCCCAGAAACCGCGTTCAGACATTTGGCCATATTTATGGCCTGCCTATATTGCGGCCCCTGGCAAAAGCCAGGGTGGGGCTTCAAATAACAAAAAATTTCGTCCTAAAAAGGTCGAAACTGAATATCTATCATTCTTCCTAATGCTGAGACCCTTAAATACAGTTTTTCATGTAGTCGTGACCGCCAACCACACAGTTATTTTCGTTGCTACTTCATAACTTCAAAATATATGTGTTTTGTAATGGTCTCTGGGGCCCCTGTAAAAGGGTCGATCCACCCACCAAACAAACATACCAAAAAAAAAAAAAAAAATGTCGCGAAATAAGTTTGAGAACCGGTGTATGAAACTCTTCTGTTGCTGATCTCTCAGCCAATAGCGGCAAGTAGGCAGCCATTGCAGAACTGTATCACCCAATGTTGTCGCTGGGTCATTTGCCACGAGCGGCCAGCGACCACGTTCACAAAACCCACTAAATGTCTGCCGTCCGGAGCTCAACATTCTTCTTACAAACTAAATGTCTGCCGTCTAGAGCTCAACATTCTTCCCACAAACTAAATGTCTGCCGTCCAGAGCTCAACATGCGTCTCACAAACTAAATGTCTGCCGTCTAGAGCTCAACATTCTTCTCACAAACTAAATGTCTGCCGTCCAGAGCTCAGCATTCGTCTCACAAACTAAATGTCTGCCATCCAGACCTCAACGTTTGTCACACAAACTAAATGTCTGCCGCCTAGAGCTCAACATTCTTCTCACAAACTAAATGTCTGCCGTCCGGAGCTCAACATTCTTCTCACAAACTAAATGTCTGCCGTCCAGAGCTCAACATTCTTCTCACAAACTAAATGTCTGCCGCCTAGAGCTCAACATGTGTCTCACAAACTAAATGTCTGCCGTCCTGAGCTCAACATTCTTCTCACAAACTAAATGTCTGCCGTCCAGAGCTCAACATTCTTCTCACAAACTAAATGTCTGCCGTCTAGAGCTCAACATTCGTCTCACAAACTAAATGTCTGCCGTCCAGAGCTCAACATTCTTCTCACAAAGTAAATGTCTGCCGTCCAAAGCTCAACATTCTTCTCACAAACTAAATGTCTGCCGTCCAGAGCTCAACATGTGTCTCACAAAGTAAATGTCTGCCGTCCAGAGCTCAACATTCTTCTCACAAACTAAATGTCTGTCTGCCGTCCAGAGCTCAACATGTGTCTCACAAACTAAATGTCTGCCGTCTAGAGCTCAACATGCGTCTCACAAACTAAATGTCTGCCATCCAGACCTCAACGTTTGTCACACAAACTAAATGTCTACCATCCAGAGCTCAACGTTTGTCTCACAAATTAAATGTCTGCCGTCCAGAGCTCAACATTTGACTCACAAATTAAATGTCTACCATCCAGAGCTCAACATTTGACTCACAAATTAAATGTCTGCCGTCCAGAGCTCAACATTTGACTCACAAATTAAATGTCTGCCGTCCAGAGCTCAACATTTGACTCACAAATTAAATGTCTGCCGTCGAGCTCAACATTCGTCGCATAAATCAAATGGCAGCCTTCCAGAGCTTAACATTCGTCTCACAAACTAACTGTCTGCCGTCCAGAGCTCAACGTTTGTCTCACAAACTAAATTTCTGCCGTCGAGAGCTCAAAATTTGTCACATAAATCAAATGTCAGCCTGTCAAAGCTTAACATTCGTCTCACAAACTAAATGTCTGCCGTCCAGAGCTCAACGTTTGTCTCACAAACTAAATGTCTGCCGTCAAGAGCTCAAAATTCGTCACATAAATCAAATGTCAGCCTGTCAAAGCTTAACATTCGTCACACAAACTAACTGTCTGCCGTCCAGAGCTCAATACTCCTATCAAAAACTAAATGTCTGCCGTCCAGAGCTCAACATTTGTCTCACAAACTAAATGTCTGCCGTCTAGAGTTCTACAGAATGTCTTCGTTTACACTTCCAAATTCCGATGCTCGTTGCTCTGGAAACTTAAGCACTGAAAATTAGAGCTGCAAGGGGTGAACAAGTTGAACCTTCCTGGGGATATCCCCGCTTGGTCTGCCGTCTAGATTTGCTGCAAGGGGTGAACAAGTTGAACCTTCCTGGGGATATCCCCGGTTGGTCTGCCCTTTAGATTTAGGAGTAGATTTTGTAACCTCGGCGAGGTCTTCAGGTTCCTGCCCGAAAAGAAAAAAAAAATGGAAGGAAGGAAGAAGTTTTGCAGTGGCTAGAGGCTTCCCTATTGCTGGGATGTCTACCTTTTAAATCCGTACCGGAGCCGAACTTTTTTCATACTTGGCGGTGGCAACTATGTCGACAGCCTTAAATATATACCAGAAAAACTCCAGGAAAGTAAAGGCTGAAGGTATTATTTTGACGACATCGCTCTTCTCGCGCAATCTGGTGTTCATAAACTTGAGTCTAACATCCGGTGCAGGTCCCTTGATAATTTTCTTGCTTGTACTTTCATGACCCGGGTGTCCTTGACCTGCCGTGACTACTTTCGCTCTGGCAGACCGTTTGTAGTACAAGAGAGATAATATAGAATATAAACAACAAGAGGTGGGGTGGGGGTGGGGGTGTTTATAATGAGTAAGTAATGAAAAGAAACGCGGGGAAAAAAAGTAGGCTAGTTTAACGAGAAACAGAACGACTACGTTGATGGATCAGTCATATGCGGTCTCCACTATGAAAACTGGCTGCAGTAGATCTCCAATACGCTCTGTCTATTGTCTTGGTTCTACACTTTCTCAGAAAGCTGTTTGTGTATCTTTTAATGTTGTCCCCCACCTGTATCGTTGTCTACCTCTTGCTCTCTTGTCTTATACCTTTTTCATCCAGTATGGTTTTTAAAGATTGCTACATGAATGAAACACACACACTCTCTCTCTCTCTCACACACAAAATAACACCAACAACGAAGACAGAGAGAGAGAGAGAGAGAGAGAGAGAGAGAGAGAGAGAGAGAGAGAGAGAGAGAGAGAGAGAGAGAAGAAATGAGAACGAAACAATGGATATATAAAACAGAAATATCATAGTCATGTTACCGAAAACTGTTTCCTAAGTGGAGCGGTGATGGCCTGGTGCCGGTCCACCGCGATGACCACCAACATGTTGGTGCTGGAGCAGATGGCGAAGATCTGCAGCATTTTGATGATACGACACATGACATCACCTGCCAACCAGCGTCGGTCCAGATGTTCCCACACCAACTGTGTGACGCAGGAAAAACAGATCACCAGCAGATCCGCCACGCACAGGTTGAGAATGAGAGCATTGACCCGAGACAGTCTGTGTGGACAAGAGAGTTGCATACTTGTATGTGTGTTTAATATCAGTACCTAGCAGAACAGTTGACAAAACGAAAATCAGATAAAGAAACAGCAAAAAAGCGTTCATTATTGTTTTGCTTCAAGGGGTCTTTCACGAGTTTGTAAACTATATTTCATTATTCAGCTTGAGTAAGTATCACATATGTTATTTCGATCGATCGCCATTTTGTCTTCTTCTGTGTAATAAATATTTCAACGATCACTATATCTCGATAAGGAGTCAGCGAGAGAAACTGTAGCGCATACAGAATGAAGCTATGCGGGTAATCCTTGGATGTACAAGAGACACCCCAATTGTTTCCATGCGATACATCCTGCATTGGGAGTTGCCGTGGCGGAGTGGCTAGACGCTCACCGCGGATCTGAAGGTCGTGGGTTCGCTCCCTGGCAGAGCCAGAATTTTTTTCAAAAATGACCTCGGCTTACAGGTCGACCCAGCCTTGAGTGGGTACCGGGTGCAGTCCCAGGAAGTAAGATGCTGACCACATCACCCATCTTGTGCCGATCGGTCTATAAAATATAGGTCTAGCCCTATATGGCCTATACGCCTAAAGGCGTGGAAAAGGGTCCTTAACTTTACTTTACTTACATCCTTGCATTGCCAACTATTACATATAGGCTAAAGGTGCTGCAGGCTAAGTAATATCTCAGAGTAGCTGCAGACAAAAAACACCCTCTAAATGCAGCTTTGGCTGCAGGCAAGAGTCAGAGGCTGAAAAGGGGGAAATCGTGGATGGCTCAAGCAGACGACACAATAAAACAAGTATGCATGCTGGAGAACATTGGGCGAGGAGAGGAGTGGGTCACAGTACCAGCAGAAAAGTCTGTCCTGTGTAGTGTTATGAAAACATTGGGACGGGTGTGCAGAGAGTGTTCAACGGGTGCTACGGACGTTGAAGTCCAACAGTTGATACACGATCATTCTCAACCAGTGTACGTGCGCGAGGTTTGGTTGTCTGCTTGATCATTGTTTGCTGATGAGGGGTTTTTGCAGCAAAATATCTTATTAATTGTAAATTGTACTTTGTAAAACTGAACTGTATTTGATGTTTTCCAATTGCTGGCACATGTGAAGCGTCCCGTCACATGAACAATTACACATGATGAATCCTATAATAAGCCAGTGTGAGTAGCACAGGACGATCAGGCAGGAATGTGTTGCAATTATTACGTGTCATAACTATCATTATCATCACCATCATCATCACTATCATCATCGTCACTATCATCTTCAACAACACTATCATCATCTTCAATATTATCATCATCATCATAAATTTCAATATCATCAATATCAACATCATCTCTACCTACATCGCCATCATCATCACAATTATCACTATAATCATTATCATCACTATATTCATTACCATCACTATCATCATCACTATAGTCATCATAATCACTACCATCAACATCACTGTCATCACCCTGAGGTTAGTTATAGTTAGTCCAGGGTTATCTACTGTTACAGTCATAAGACGATGACAACTTGTCGTTCCAGCTACCTGTATATTATCGATCCAGCGGCGCATGAGCTTTCGCCCTTTGGCCCATGCTACCTGTATATAACAGAAGGAATTCCTGTCACACTATTGGTGCTCTGGACAATTCGTTTCACTAGACACATATTATTATAGGTACCACATTACCGCTTGCATGTCGGCCAGCGTGTCAAGGGTTTGAATCTTAGCAGCAAGATCAACCTGGCATTAAATCGGTACCAGGATATTTCATGGGGCCTATCTTAGAATGAAGTTGAGCAAGGAGATAACATTAGTTATATAATATCGGCCTTTATTATTCACTTCAGTATTCCTCCACATATGTCATTGTCTTCAAAGCTTTATCCAAGACTGTTTGGATAAAATAGTCATCATGTTTTATATCTGGGTAAAAAATTCACTTGCTTTTGTTTCTGGTATAGGCTAATTAGATATCTTATTAATAAAAGGCAGATTCCAATAAAGAAATGTTCTTTAGGGGAGAAACAAGGAATTTTTCACTTGCAATCGAAGGTTTTCACAAGCAATAACTGAAAATAAAACATTGCAAATCATCTTGTATTTATATATATATACACACACACACATTCCCAAGGAATAGACACAGTGTGACAGACTTTCGTAGGTTTCGTAGGTTACGTTTGTAGGTCATGCAAAAGAAATAAAGGGCATCTAAAATGTATCACCAATGACCGGAAACAGACGGCGGTGAGAATGCGATTGACGGCTTCTGTTCAGGACAGGTCATTATTGGGCCTATTTCTTTCCTGCCCAGAAAATCATGTTTGCCGAATCGTATTGAGGTCTTTCACAATCATGTTTGTCTTTATTTCTTTAATTTCGTGCACGGTTTCTTTTCCTTGACGTTCTTAGTTTTCATTTTCCTCCACAATGTTGAATTAAGAATCGATATCACTGCAGTTGGGACACCACTATAAGCGCTCCGTCCCCATCTTCAGAAGCCAACCAAGAGTTAAAATTCCCATGGTAACAGTATTTGTCTGATTGTATATCCGTCTCGCCTTGCCCCTGAGTGTCGAGCGTCGGCCAGATCCCCCTGTAACTCCTTGCAGCGCCATTCTCTTCAGACCGTAATGATCTATCTGTGCCTCGGCACTCTTCACTCGCGTCTAAAGGGCCCTCGCAACATCCAGCTTGTCATATATCAGTTAAAAAACCAATGTGTAGAACAGGCCAGCCCATCTGCCTGCTCATTTCCCAATACACCGGCATGCCCTGGAAAAAATATTTTAAAAATGCTAACTGCCAAGGATCTTTGAAGTGATGCTTGCCAATCTGCACGGAGCATGTCTGTCTCCACCTTTCTCAACAAGCTCTGTGAGTCAATGTCGGCATGTGTGTGTGCAGCTGATTGTCAAGCCAGCGGAAGGCAGCAGTTACTGCCTCCACCTCCATTCTCAAACTAGACGTTGTGATATCCTATGCCAGGCTTTGTTACGTCAATCAAGGTCCATTCGCCTTCGCTATGAACCCCCATGCACTTCGTCTGCCCCTCAACATAGAGCCAACGTCTATTGTATATAATCACATCATCTGGCAGGAATTTTCATGAACCTTTTATTAACTGTGAGGTTTATAACGTTAGCTTGCACAATTCTATTTCCCAGAGAGCACCACAAAACAGCTGTCTTTTGTGAGCTGATGACAGCACCCATTTCTGCACACCAGTCGATCACTTTGTCTACCGTTGCCTGATGCTCATGGTCTATCCGTCGCCTATCTCTACCTTGGCTGTATGCAAGAACAACATCAGCAAATGTCAAAATTCTTCCAACACCCGGTGATTCAAGTTCTTGATTCCTGCTTGTATACACATTAAAGAACACTGGTGAAATTGCAGAACCCTGAGGTAGTCCCGGGGCGATGGTTCTGAGGTCTATGTACCAAGGAGAAGGGCAACCATACATGAATGCAGGACAGCTGCTATCCAGTTCACAAGCCACGGACAATCCCATTTCTTCATGACTGCAGATAGCAAAATATCATATTTGACTCTATTATAGGCATCCTCAAGATCAAATGCTGCCACAACGGTCTCCTGTCTGTTCTGGAACCCCCCATAAACATCAAAAGTGAAAGTATCTACACTGGACCAGGTATTTTCCGTAGCCGGTAACTACCCAAACCTTTTGGCTCTTCCCTTTTCCTCCATAATTTGTTTGCTTTTGTGTGGATTAGTTTTTATAACCAGGTATTTTTTTAGTGTTGGAATTAATCAGATCTTGTCTTGGTATGCCATATTCGCTTCGGCTTTGTTGTTGTTTTTGTTATTTGTTTAATATTGTGTCCTTTTTCTCGCAAATTACCATAAAGCTATATCAAACGCATACATTCACCTCCTATCGTTTACATCTGCTTTAATACTCCTTTACAAGATGTATGTGTCCCCACACTCAATTAGCAATGTGAATTCAAGAGAAAAGATCGCATTTTAACTGTATAAGCAGCGCACCTCAAAGTGTATCTACTTAAATTTCGCCGTCTTTATTCGTAAATAGTCGTCCCAATGTCGGAAGCAGGTTTTTCTTGTTTTAAAGCTCCGCGCTGTTTGTTGCTGGAGGTCCTCATATAATTTGGCTTGAACAGGTTTTCTGCTACCTATACCCTGGTGATCCTCATTCGAATGGTGGCACTTTGTGTCATCGGCTGTTGGTCGCTCAGTGTGATGTCCTGGTGGGGTTAAAGTTCAGTCGGTAAGTCAGTCATCGTTCTTCTCTCTTCTCGATTCACTGTGATTTTTTTTAGGTCACCCGGCGAACAACATATTGTTGTTTCAGGGATATTACATTAGTCTCGTTCTCTCGTTGATACAGCCATTCTGTTGTCAAAAGCTTTTAAACTGGAAGTGGAACAACTGGCTTCACACAGCATTGATTTCAGAGTTATTTAGCACAATATAATATCATGTAACCATCGCTAAGTGCCTCCCTGACTAGCATATCGGTCATCCGTATCTGCATCTAGCAATCTTCAACAGATTGTCTCAGTTCGTATACTAACGCCCCCCCCCCCCTCCCCTTTTCCCCCCTTTTCCGATGGCATGGCAAAAGTATCCCAATAATCACATATTCTCTTCCATTGTTTCTCTGTCAAGAAATCGTCCCTCTATCATCATATGCTTCCACCTGTCGATTTCAATCCAGCTGCCAACAAAAATGGAAAAATGCAAGAACACAAAATAAAAGAACATATTTGTAATATTAATCTTCTAAGTAAAAGAGTCTCTTTTTTTTTTTGTTAGTCATTACTTTCTTCATTCATTGTCCGGTGCTCTAAAGACGAGATCGCTTTCATTGTAACATACCCCACTGAAATGCAATGTATCTTAATTTGATATCGTCGTTTTATTTATTTTTTGTTTTCGCCGGCAATATTTTCTGTGATTTCTTGTCTGTATTCTCTCAAACATCTTTCTTGATCAATTCTCCGAGGA